GTGTGTGCGCGCGCGTGCGTGTGTGTGTGTGTGTGTGTGTGTGTGTGTGTGTGTGTGTGTGTGTGTGTGTAAGAGAGAGAGGGAGAGTGTGTGTGTTTATGTGCGCTCGTGCATGTCTGGGGCCACGTTTGCATACTAGCGATCGAAAAAAGGCCCCATTTTTTAATCGTGTAAAACGTCTAATCTTTTGAATCTGTACGCAGTTTCTTTCATGTGAGCAACTCTATATACTTTTGATAAGAAATGAAGCCATCGGCATGCTCCACGCGTTTCTGCTGTTGCTAGAACATTCAACGTTAACAAAGAAAGAGACGCGGAATGTCCTGGCAACAGTGGAAACGCGCAAAGCATGTCGATGGATCGATTGCCCTAATGTTGAGTTAAACCTACTATCATTTCTTAGGTGACATTGATCAAATAATATGTTACTGTGGTTTTTGGTAAAAACAGACCCACACTTCATTTTTTTTTGTTGCAAAGAATAGGCAAAGATTCGCCACGTGGTAGGGAAAAAATGGCAATGTTCTTAAATTGTACATTGGTGCTTTAAACACTAACGGGGACACTAAAATGTGTGTGTGGGGGGGGGGGTATCAATATGGCCTTCTTTTTGGACTACTTAGTATTACTCACTTAAAAGGAAAAGGGTAAAGACTCAAATGACTAGGTTTTATACACAATCTAAAAGTGGTTCCCTTTTTCTTTTACTTTTCATCGCCAGTATTGTGGCGTTGGTAGTCAAGTGGTTAGTCTACCGGACTCGTTATTGTGAGGCTGCGGGTTCGGGGATTCGAGCCTCAGGCCCGACCTTAGGTCTTCAGGAAAGGCACTTTACACGAATATTCCTGTATTCACCCACGTGGGAATTGGTGGTACCGGCCATCAACAGCGAAAGATCTTGTCAGTATTTTAGTGTTTTGGCGCGTATAGAAATGCATCTTGCACTCTATGCTTCTCAAGAAGTTGAGATTGGTTCAGAATGCTATCAGGTCTGCTGGGGTAATAATATAGATTGTAAAGCGCATAGAGCTTGTTGATGAGCGGGAATTTGTGCTATGCAAATTAATGCTATCTATTATTATCATTATTGAACGTACTACATGTACACAGATGTCTTAGGGGGCGAACTTTGTAAAAGACTACTCTGTGTAAAAATAATCATAAATACTGTTTATCTTTACTGTTTACAAGTAACTGGTTTAGCAACTGTTGCAATAGCGGATTAAGCAGCAGCTATGTTACACTGGTTAGGCTTTTCCCGGTTGAACAAAAAAGACATGAGTTCCATTTGCATGAGGAGAAGTCTTTGTTAACGGGCATCTCTATCTTTCCACTTTCCACAGAATTGCTGTAACTCCTTCAGTCCAGGTTTGCCCTGACAGACACGGTTGAAGCATTCTGCCTCCTAAATGATTTTAACTCTTAGCATGCAGAGTGCTAGTTCAGTTGGCACACGACATCACTTGGTTGTTTATAGACGTAACAAAAATCTACAAGCCTACATCAAATTCATCAAATATATAATAAAACTATACGTTTATTCTTTGGGTCATTTATCTCAACTCAATTTGGTGTTTATTTTGTGCAAATAGGTTAAATAGGAACGTAATTAAAGGGAGGTTTGTTATGCTAAACATTTGAATGCCAAAATTTTATTGGCTGCGGTTTTCACGATAATTGAATTAGTTATTGTGTCGATGGTAATGAGAAACATTTGCATAATCGACTAATAACAATGTGTTCACAATCCATAATTGGTGCTGATGTTGCCATCATACAATTAGACCAGCTTGACCTCTGCTTAAACTGACACAGTCGTCTGATGGGGAAAATCCAACCTGAGACCCCCTGTCATTATGAAAGGACAAAGTATGCGTACTTCTGTTCATCTACTGAACTAAAATAATAACTTCTGTTCATCTACTGACTTAATGTACAAAAAGATGACAGGTGCCATTTGTATAATACGTATTCTCTCTCAACAGTAAGGTCTAAACACTTTAAAATCTAAATTGTTACCCCAGCTGACTCTAGAACACTCAGAAACATTTTCGGCTTTCCAGAAAGCATGTCGTACATGCAACAGACTAAGAGCTCAGACACTAACAAACTGACACGTTTTTTACTTGCAAAATAAAACAACGGGTACCCATTCCTATCTGAGTTAATGAGGAAAACGTGTGCACAGTGCCTTTCCTAAGCATACAACGTTGGGCCCATGATGGGGTTTGAACCCACGACCTTTCGGTTGGGATCCTAACAGTCTTACTAATAGGCCACCGATGCCACACCTAATAATATTACTCTTTGCCACTGACGCCCCTTTCTGCTGCCCGAAGTCCAATTTTTGTGCTCAATTTCGGATGCCAAATTTTTCTCATACGTTTTGTTTTACTATTGTTTTGTTTTGAACAAAACCACACTCATGATTAGAATTGGTGTCCTTTTTTATGTTCCTTTGTTTTTGTTGTTGTTAGGTTGTTGTCTTTTTTTTAAAACATTGCCTTATATCTTAACTGGTTGGCTCAAGTGTCATGATTTCGATGTGTGTTCACAGCTCCGTCAATCATCTAGCACTCACACCACCCATCTCTATCGGGACATAGATAACAGAGAAAGGACAGAAACAGAAGCCCCGGGCATGCTTTATCATTAATTTATCAATACGATAACCTCAAGGCCTGCCTGTCTTTATCTACAGTGCAGTTACACTTTGTTCTATTTTGCACTTTTTCGAGACAATAAACTCTCCATTAATTTTATTTGGCCTAGAAACTTTAGTTCTTTTTGGGTTATCTGCCATTATACTCTCATCTTTTCTCGGTTACATCTCAGTGACATTAAAACTGCCAAAGTTCCAGATAAACGCAATTTCATCTTCATTTAATCGCTGTTCACTCGACCTTGACGCCCAACTGGACCCCCTCCCCCCCCCAACCAACTCCCAACCCCCACACCCGACTCCCAACCCCCAACCCCCATCACCTATTTCTACTCCCCTCCCCCAAGCGACGTCTGGGATGTTTTTAAAGTATCTGTTTCGTTCTCTTTAAAGTTTTTTGGTCTCAATTGTTTGTTTTGGGGTTTTTTAGGTCCTGAACAAAAACAAACAACAGCTACAGATATAGATCTGCATTTGTATATAAACAGAAGGAATTGTCGTAGAAAATCAGTTCTCTTTTGAGGAAGAGACTAAAGCTTTTTCGCCAAAATGAAGATTTCTCTGCTCTTGGCAGTTTGCCTTGCTGGTAAGCCCGACGTGCTTGAATTTTCTAACATTAAAATTGTATAATTGTAGTAGTAATAGTAGTAGTAGTAGTAGTAGTAGTAGTAGTAGTAGTAGTAGTAGTAGTAGTAGTTATTTAATGAGAGTGAGAAATAACTGATGACTTGTGGTTTGCAATTCCAAAGACGTCGTGAGGGTTATAAGCTTTACCGTCTTGCTGATCATATTTTAATATTTCAAGCAACTAAATATATTTGCTCTTTGTTTTATGCTTACACCTTGTCATACAATGCACACCATGCATTTTACCTAGCCGAAAGGCGATGTGTGATGAATGTATACTCTCACACTCACACACAAAATGTGTCTTCAAAATAACAACTTAAAATGTTATTACTTTGGACACGTTGGAAGAGGTAGGGTTACTTTAGCCCCAAGAGCCAGTATGTCCATTTGAACTATAAGAGTGTTTAGGTGTGAGAGCATCCCAGAAAAAAGTCCGTACAAACTGTGACGTTTCTGAAAACAACTTGTGTAGAAATTAAAGTTTGTCCTAACTTCTTTTAGTCGATATGCTAGTACCTGTTTTGTAACTGCCTGGCGAAAAACGTAACTATCAGCCTCAGCAGGCTCACGACGTGAGTTCGATTCGCGTGGATGATAGTAAAGGAATGTCTCCATCTTTTGTAGGGATATTATGACCCATTTAGCGGTACAGGTGAAGAGAACTTGATGTGTTGCAATTAGGTTTGAAATGTCCCAGAAAAATAGTTGATTTGCGACAATTTTAGTGGAGTGTAAGTAAAAATTTGCGAGTCTGACGCATACACACTAAGCTTGGGTTAGTCCTGACAGCCAGCCACTCATCAGTTCTCTGCTGTCCTTATAGGCATATAATCAATCTATGACTGAAAAAGTGCTTCCTTATGGGGTTGAAGTTATTTACTTGCTCTCATGAAATGTTTTTTCTTGTGTGTGTGTGTGTGTGTGTGTGTGTGTGTGTGTGTGTGTGTGTGTTTTATTAATTGCTCTGCTTGTTTTGTTTTCTGACAATGTATTTTTTTTCCTTTGGACAATGATGCAAAACAAAAAGAAAGGTGAGATGGTAATCCTCCCTTCCTAAGTAACGGACGGCACTCCCCCTCTCCTCCCCCTCCCCGTCCTTTCTAAAAAAAAAAGTATTATTGTTGGTGGTGAAATCATCCTCAGGTGCCAGATTTGCAACAAACATCGGTGGTCATGGTTCGCCATTCATTCTTTTGTTCAGATACTCTCAAAAAAAAGGTATATCATCCTGATAATTCCCCGTCTCCCATCTGTTTAGGCTTTCCAAGCAGGATAAGATGCTTTGGGTCTTCCTCTGCTTCGTTTGCCTTCAATTTCATCAGTAAGAGCATGATATACGTTCAAGGCCCTCATGTCTGTTCAAGTGGTGAAATATTTATTGAAAATATTCAAAGTGGAAGAGGTTGCTGTTATAGAAGCAAAGACACAACTAGCGACCATGACGGATCTGTGAAGCAGAAAAATATTATTATACTTATACAGAAA